CAGAAGCCTACCGTTTAGTCACCTTTTGTGACTACCCTCTAAAAATGCAAATTTTTCCTACCCAAACACACAAGCTATTTGTCCCACTAACAAGTTTAGCTCTGATATTGAACTCTCCTTTGTAGACTGCACTGATCCTTAGTTCCTCCGAGACAGGAAAATTATTCCCATTACTCCAATAATTTGGAAAAGGGGTCTTTAATCTCTGCTCCATGGAGGCATCCTGGGTTCAGAGGGGATAAATGGTTGCACGAGGGTGAGGGGGTCCCTGACTGGGTCCTGGAAGGCAGCAAAATCTTTTATCTGGCTCTTTGCTGTAGGATCCCTGAGGCATGCTCTAAACCACAGCAGAAAAACATGGAGAGCAGCATTATTTTGTTCCCTTAGCACATCAAGAAGGTGGGTAACCGGTGCCAAGACAAAATAGAGAGCCAATGGAGTTGAGGGCAAATTCATGAAATGTGATGAGCTAAAAAGATGGGATCGATAGATACCAAATTACTTCTTGCAGAGGAAATCCAGCTGCCTCTTACAGAAATGGAACCTGCGATAAAACAAGCTATAAGTCTGTATAACAGGAAAAAATCGGCAATTTGCTCCATACAATTAACCCTGGGGCCTGCAAAGCAAACACATCTTCATTTAAATGGAGTGTCTTGCAAATGGTTACATTTCTACCCTTTGTAATAATGCCCTTAAAAATCAAGTAGACAGGATTATCAGTGACCACAGATTACAGCACAAGGATGTCAGTATAGTCAGTCTAGTATTGCTTTCTAGAGAAGGAAATAAAAATGTCTGAACAAGTTTTTTTATTATTATTATTTTCTTCACACAAGATGATTGAAAATGTATTGTCATTAGATCAGCCCAAGATCAGTTTTTTCTTCTGATTTTTCAGTTTGCACATACAAATGGAGGGGGGGGGGAGAAATCAATTATTACGATAATTTTAAGGAAAACGTAGTTTTCTTCCAGAAAGTAAACCTTAAAGCATTCTGAAACTGATACTATGGAGTCCTAGCGTTACATAGGAGAAGTGTAAATCGTCCATCTTCTTACAGCAAAGAACTCTTTACCTGTGAGAATGATGTAGTCATATCTTTTTTCCCTCCAGTTAGTATAACAGAAACTACAGAGCTTAATCTGCATTCTAAAAATACATTTAGGGTAGCTACTAAAAGCTGAACTATACTATAACAATAAGAGGAACATTCAGAATTTGGTATCACTCGTTCTCACATTTAACTCCAAAGAGTAATTTCTGAAACATACAAGGAACTGCCACAGAAATTGTTATGTACCCAGAATGGAGATACCCAGTACTAAAAGCATAAGAAACGTGTGCCAAAGAATTAGCTGCAGTGCAAGGCAAAATACGGCAAGGGTATGCAATATGTATTGCAAAGCAAGAAAGTGATCGTATGTAATAGCGAATAGACCAGTCAACCAGAATTCTGTTTGTAGGTAGACAGATAGATTAACAGCATGATAATACCCATGCAAGGACATCTGCATAATTTGCAAGTACGAAAAACTACATCAGCTTCTTCACAGGACTGTCCTCCATATAACTGAGAAATTAATAAGGCTTCCAATAAATGCTTTAGCATATGTTCAACAAATTGCTTACTATCAAGGTATTACCAGATTTATACTAATTCAAAATTATTCCCATCATAATAAAATCCTGAAACATCCTTGTTTGCCCTATTACCTAGCTAAAATATGACTTTCAATGATTTTGAGGCTGCCAGTCATTTCTAAGCTGTTGTTATCCCAAAATGAAAAACTGAGTTATTTTAGTTTTGTCTTACAATCTCAATAAATAAAATACATTAGGCTAGACATTTGCAACAGTGTAACTAGATTACTAATGGGCATAGGCATGCTTCTTCTATCCTTAATTAAGTTCTCATTTTGAGATCTGACTTCTTCAGCACAAAACTACTGCTAACAAAAGTAGTGTTGAATTATTGCTAAGACATGTATTCATGCAATTAGGAAACTCCTTCTTGAGTTGGAGACTTCTTATTAAATAACAGGATTAATGTAAATGCCAAATGACGATAATTGAAAAAGCAATGGCACACTTTTGATACTCTGCTTAGGGAATTATGAAACAGGAGATCTAGCAAAAGAAAGGACTCACTTATGACACGGGTATGGTATTTTTAGTTAGTCTTTTTTTTTTACAATACTTCATAACATCACATAAGGGAGGAATTTTCTATTTTTCTACTACTTACATCAATTTAAAGTACCTCAGCAAGGCACCATAGTGTTACTGAGGCAGAATTTACCTTGGTAAGAGCTCTTGTAGTGAAAAATTGGTTCTTTACTAGTCTTACAAGCAGAAGAGATAATTACTAGCAGCAATGGAAAAACTCAGGTAAATAAGCAGATTGGAAAAACCTTATATTTCTTTAAAACATTATAATAGAATCATAGAATCGTTTAGGTTGGAAAAGACCTTTAAGATCATCAAGTCCAACCGTTAACCTAGCACTGCCAAGTATTATAATTGCTTTGCAAAATATTTCAAAACTTTTCTCTTAGTTATTGTTATTCACCATTCAAGAAGTACACTTTCAAGCCATTTAATGTAGCTAGCATAGATCTTTCTGCATGAAATAAATAGAAAACTTTCTTGTGTGCTGCTTTTAAGGGCCTGGATCTCTGAGCTCTCTCTCTTCCTAGCAGTGCTCTTTGCATCTGGTCTTCTTCCTGTTTAAATCCCTTCTACGCTGAGGCCCTTCCCACAACATACTTCATAAGATTATTTTCAAACTCCATGATCAACGCTTCCCAAACATTCATCACAACCAGGAACACTAAGAAATTGTAGAAAAAGCAGCGTCAGCAGTAGCAAAGTTCCTCAAGGACAAGAGCAGCAGCTGTAATCACTAGCTAGAAGGGTTTACTCTGGCCGGAGAACAGCTAACTACCTTTAATTGCTGTCAGGAGCTCAATCCACTCTCCAGAGGAGGTGGGAAGAGGATGGGTATGGAGAGGAAGCAGGTGTTTACAGCTGCAGCCAGTTGTTACAGCTGGTTCTTATTCCTCCATCCTGTCAGGACTGAACTGCAGCTGCAGGGAATCACACAAAGACAGATGACCCCCCAAAAAGAGAATTACCTTTTCAAAAAGTTTGAGAAAAATACACATGATGATTTGAGAGGGTGATGCAAAATGTTTCTCTGCCACCTGCTTCTTGCTAAAGGGATGCTAGTCAGCGTCTAGTGGAGGGAGCTGGTCCCTAGACCCTCAACAATTCCATTCCTTAAACAGGCTCTTGTAGTACCATTTGAAAGACAGCATCTTACGTATTCACAAGCAGCAGCTTTGATGGGATTTGTTGCTTGCACAGAATGAAGGGCTCTATCTGTCAGCTTCATCTGGACTAATTTTCAACACTACATAAACGTAAGCACAGAAACAGCTTACATTTATGAAGACAGTTTTTTCATCAGAGTCCAGAAGATGAACCCCATCAGCATGGAGGGAACAACTTGAATCACTAAGCGCTGCCCTTTAGAGCTGTTTCAAGGCTGACAGCTGCTGCTCCCTTCTTTGTTTAAGAAAAAAATTTCTCTTTCTGTGTTTTCTACCCTAACTTTATACTCAAATATCTCTAGCTCAACTACTTTTCTGCTAGTCATAATACTTCCAATGTCTTCAAAAGTTAAAGAAATTACACATCGTAAGAAGCCTTTACCGAAGGTATAAAACTAAGTCCTCCTTTTTTCTTAGCTCTTACAGAGCTTGGTAACACGGAAGATAATGCAGATAGCAGATTTAGCATTTAGATGCCAAGATCACCCTTTTAATGCATATTTCCTGAATTTTAAAGGATTTTGAAATCTAGTAGAGCTGGAGCTTTCTTTTCTGACAGCCATTTTACTAAACTATATTGAAGACTGTCATGAAATTTTCTGAAGAAGAGTTCTCCTCTACAGTGGCCAGGAAGACAAACCAATCAGGAAAGTGAAACAAAAATTTGCTATGAATGGAAGCTAATAATTATATGACTGAGATTGCTAGGTCCTTATTTTATTATTCCTTCAAATTCACCTCCCTTTCCAATGTTTATCTTTTTTTTCAAAAAGATCTCTCATAGTGTTAACTACTGCAAACATTTCCACTTTATAAAGAATAGTTAATTCTGAAGAAGTGGTGTCAGAAGCCAAGAAAGAAATCCTATCTCATCTGAAGTTTAATGGGATAGTATATTACCATTATTGCTCCAGCATATTGCACTATTAAATTGTCATTATTTAGGAAGGATTATTTAAGTTAAAAAAAAAAAAAAAAAAAAAAAGAGGGGGGGGGGAAGAAAAAAAAAAAAAAAAAAATA